ACAAGAATTCTACTGGATCTGGAAGAGGAAAGAAGCTGACGGTGTTAACAGAACCTATTTTGATCAATACCTACACGGGGCTGATGTCATTCATTGGAAACCGCAACAAACTTGGCTATTCCCTTGCCCGTGGGAGCATTGGTTTTTGAGACTCTTTTTGGTACACAAGTACATCATCCCTAAATATACCATTATTGAAGATTCCATTTCAGCCTGCCATATTTTTAAATGGAAACAACTAATTACTTTTAAAAAATACTACATGATTTTGAATATTTAGTATTTCAGGAAATCTAAAAGCTTGATTGGACTGATAAATACACACTTCAGACCTCATATAAGAATAATCATATTTCCATCAAACCAGAAAATAAATACTGCTGAGCCCATCAAATAATGTTATCAAATGAGTGCTTGATCATAAGCTCAGGGAAGACTCTCTGGGTTCTTGTTGCTCCTGCTCTCCAAATGTGGGCATTTTCCAAGGTCTCAATCCTCAGCCTTCCAATTCTGATTTATTCTCTCATTGTGGTCTCACCATCTGTTATTTTAGCTACTGCTTTTATGGGGATGATTCCCAAATCCATATACCCATCTGCAATATTTATTCCAAGGTTTAGTTTTGCATTTCTGTCTTCCAGTCATCCACACATCAGTGGTCCAATGTCTGCTCGCATTCAGCATCTTCAAAATCCTGAGTTTCTCAATGGTAGTTTTATAATCTCAGTCATCCATTTCTAAAATCCATCAGTTTTGATTTTCCTAAGTTTCTTGCCAAATATATCCCATATTGTAACACATCTGTATGTGGATTAGCATTGTACCCCAGTGCCCAGATGACAAACTTCAAGCTCATTCTTCTTTCAAAATTGTGCATATTCTCCGTTCCATTCTCACAGCTTTCTTATTAGATGAAGTTTTAAATTCCACTCATCTGACCCTTATTGCCATGGCCTTTTAATAAGATATCTACTCCAAGACTGACCCTGCTCCAATCCACCTTGCGTTAGGTTTCCAGATTTCTAAAGCACGGTTTGTTCATATCACTCCCTGATAAAGAACTTTCAGTGGCTCATTTCCTTTTGTTGTTTTCTGTTCAAAACTTGTTTTCAGTAGTAGACTCTTTCCTTGTAATGAAAGCTTTTGCAGAAGCCCAATTCATAAAACAGGTGAAAGCAGGACCACAATGGTTGAGTGGAGATGGGAATGCCAACGGGCCTCCTCCGTCTTAGGCCTCAGAGGTGCCTCATTTGGCATACCCAGGGATTTTAGGGGGTCTTCAGGACCATGTTTTCTAAAACACTGTCCTAACCACTCCATTCCTGTTGCTCTTTTTCCTCATTTTCTTTTTCCTCTTCCCAACTTAGGTCTAGTTTTCAACAACTGAGAGGATTATCTCATCTCTTCAAGTTTCTTTTTTTTTATTTTTAAATTTTATTTTATTTAAATTTATTTAGAAAAGAAGCTTTGAATGCTAAGCACTATAAACATTATTGAAGACACACAGTTGACACATGCTGGTTTATATTCAAGTTGAAAATTCCAGCTAATTTTTTTTTCAGCTTATGCAAAATTTATTTTTAAAGTCTTCAAAAGTTTGCTTCCTCAGTTTCAAAGATTTGTTCTCTGATACATCCACAGACATAAATTTGACGCTAGCATCAGCTTATGCAAAATTTATTTTTAAAGTCTTCAAAAGTTTTCTTCCTCAGTTTCAAAGATTTGTTCTCTGATACATCCACAGACATAAATTTGACGCTAGCATTCAAAACCCAAACCTTGAAGAACCCACATGTTAATGTCTTTGTCTTGTTTACTTCCATTAATATTTCTTTCCTTTCCTCTCTTCCTCCTTCACAGCACTCACTTTTTCCCCCCATGATGGCAAATATTGTTACAGTCCCCAAGGCAGGGAACTTCTATTCAGACTGTAAAAGGAAATGTTGAAATCCTTAGTCGTCCTGTCAACAGTAGTGGAATGAAAAGTCGTTGGATTGTTTTGGCAGTGGTTCTGAAGCAGGCATAATTGGCAAATTATTGTTATACTGCTGCCCAAAAAAACCCATTTGCCTCGAGATAGTGGCATTTGTTGGTAGAAGCCTCTGAAATGTCCAGCACATTTTTCTGAATACCATTTAAGGATCAGCCTGACAATTGACTTCTCTGTGCATATCTGTTTCCCTTATAACCTAAGCCAGAATGTGCCCAAATGACCCTCTAAAGGATGCAGTACAGCAGCGTCAATGGAAGCAACTCAAAAAGGATAAGAGGAGGGAGATGTTTCTTAGTCTTGAGCTCTAGTTTGTAACAATAGGGTCAGCAATTAATAAAACCAAACCTTTTTCATATGAAGAAAGTGAACTCTGAGGTGACATGAGAACTGTCTTCACATTTCATAGAGACTGTTGTACTGGATATTCCATTAACTGATAAATGGGATCTAGAAAGCAGGATTATAACCAGAGGTTGAGAGGATTCAGGAATCTGGATAGTAGTCTAAGATAAGAAAGAACTTCTTACAGTTATAAATGTCCAGTGATGGATTGGGTTGCTTCTCGAAATACTGAGCCCACCATCACTTGACATGTTTAAGGAGGGACTACGTCAAGTGGGTATTGTGAAAAGAACTGCTGTATTATAACATTTGTAGAGATGATTGATATAATCCTTTAAGGC